AGTCTGGCGTTCCAGTCGCCGAACACCAGCCGATGGCCATAACCAGGGAGTGCCGCCAAATGACGGTGTAGGCGGTCGTAAAAGCTCAGCTTCTCATCGGTCGGCCTGTCGTTGTGCGGGGCGTACGCAGTGCATAGCGTGAGCCGCCCAGCGCCAGCGCGGATCTTGATGGAGGCAATGCGGCTGTCCAGCTGCCAGTAACCGCACACTCGCGGACGAAAACTTGGAGCGATAACAAAACCTACACCAGCCCATTCGGGATGCGCCCCTGCCGTGCCTGACAATACCACCGAGTAGCCATCTTCGGTGTCATAATGATCGGAATTCGGCTTGCGTGTCTCCTGTAGGCACATGATATCGACGGACTGCGAACTCATGTAATTGCAAATCTCAACTAATTTCAACTCGGTCATACCCTCAACGTTCCAAGAACCAACACGTACAAAACTGTCACGGCCCATATTGAATATGTCCGCGTCCTCGCGGCCCTCCGCCGCGAGGGGTGAAACTGAAACCTTTTGTCTGTCTGCGCGCCGCCGTGGCCCCTACATGGAGCCACCCCCCTTCCCCTTGCCCTTACTCTCGCTGAATGCTTTCGCCCTCTCGAGCTTCGCCTGGGCCGCCGTGGCGATCTCGGACAGCTCACCTGACGACTGCAATGCATCCCACTTCCCCTATTCCCGGTCGACCCACTTCAGCTCGAGACGGAAATCCTTCACCGCCGTCTTGGCCACCACCGCCCCTGCAACCGTCAATGAGAAATCGTCCGTGTTGACCTTGATGCACGCCTTATTAAACCCCCACTTCGCCAGCATCCGGCGCAACCCGAAGAGGACCCCGTGCTGCGTGCGGATGTCGATGGGGAAGTCCGGCTTGGCCCAGACGGTGCTTCCTAAACTCCCGGGCTGCCTCTTCGCGAAAGTGTCGACCGTATCGAGGAACACCTGGCGCTCTGAGTCGGACCCGAATTTGATGAAAAACACGCCCTTGAACTCACTCTTGCAGAACATGTTGCTGGGCGTGGGAGCCGGGACATTGAAATCAGTACATAAGGTAATAGCCCACTTAGCTGCCTCATCAAAGGTCGTCGCGTTGGGCACGTTCCCAATGACAGCAACGGCAGATGATGGATTGGACGTTGAAGCTACGTTTCTCGGAGTCGTGCACTGCGACAAAGTCTCCTCGATCATCTTCGCCACGTCATCTTTGGTGATGGACGTCTCCTGGAGCTTGTTGACCTTGTCTTCCACGCTGCTGACGGTCAAGCTCGTCTCCACTGCGGCCTGCTTCGCGGACGTGGCCATCTCCTTCGCATGCTTCGCCTCATTCAGGGCCTCCCTGCTCTCGCGAGCCATGCCCCGCACCTCCTTCCTGAGGTCTTTCATGTCCTTCATCATTGCCTGCATCATGTGCATCATGGTCGCCTCCACCTCGCCTGAGGCAGCCGCCGGACGGTCGTCATCGTCCAAGCCGTCCATTTGCTGCAGGGGGGATTCGGTGCGGGTCTGCTTCCGCTCACCACCGAGAGGAGTGCCAATGTCGTAACGCTTCATGTCACCAGTCAAGAGAACACCGGAAGGGAAATCGAGACACAGAATAATGGGTACAGCGCAAATGATGTAATGTAATGGGATATGTGACCTTGAGCTCGAGCCAGTTGCTACCCTTGAGCCAAGACGCTCAAGATGGCCTCCAAGACGGTCCAAGAGCCCTCCAAGACGTCCTCCAAGAAGGCCCGAAAGGGTTAAGATGTCCGGACGGCCCAGATGACCTTCAAGATGCCCACGTGTTCCCCGAAGGCTTTCCAAACCGATTCGGGGAACACATGGTCCGATAGCTTGGCAGGTCTGGCCTCAACGTTCGGCCACATAGGCGCTTCCAAAAAGGCAGGGGGCGGCGGTGATTCGCCGTAGGCGTCTTCGATCCGCCGCCCCCTGTCGATTCATCGCAGGGGTGCCTGGCGTGCCGAATAATATCGGTCTTGTCTTTTTCAAAAAAAAAAAAACAAAAAAAAAAAAACTCCCCCTGGGGCTTCGGCCCTTTCCGCCGGGGTCCCGGAAGGCCGCGTAAACCACCTCAGCGTGCACTACAAATCCTCCAGGACGGCTCAAGATGGCCTCCAAGATGGCCATGTTGGCCCAAGATGGCCTCCAAGATAATCCAAAATGGCCTCCAAGTCCGCCTAAGATGGTCCAAGACGGCCTCCAAGACGGCCTAAGAGAGCCCAAGACGGCCCAAGAGCCCCCCCCAGAGGCCTCCAAAACGGCCCAAGAGGCCTCCAAGAGGTCCTCCAGGAGGGCCCGAAGAGGCCCAAACCCTTGATTTTCCATAGGTTTTTGAAGGATTTTGGAATTCGCTTCTTCTCGGCGTCAGATCGTCTGCCCCCGCGCCCTCGCCCCTGGCTCGGGGGCGGCGACGAGAGGAGCGTCCAAGAGGGGGGGCGCAAATCATGGCCGACGGCGTGTGCGCGGCCCAATGGGGGGGCCAGGGATGTAATGAAATAAGCCTGAAATCCGGGGAAATCCGCCGGCCCCCTTGCGGGGCCATCAGGCTGCGAGGCTTAAGCTTGCTGCTCCCTGCGCCAGTTCCAGTTCCCAGTTTCCATTGTTACAATACTGCTTTCTGCTTCCTGCTGTACATTGTTACTGTCCGCGCGAGGGGGGGGCCGAAAACTGCCCTGGTTAGCGCACCCCGGGAGGGTTCTCAGAATTCCTGGGGGGATCAAAATTTAAAACCCTCACGCAGATCGGCGGGGTCAGGGTCCAAAAACACATGGGATTTGCAACATTTCTGAAATTTGGTAGCACCCCTCACGCAGATCGGCGGGATCAGGGTCCAATAACACAAGGGATTTGCCACATTCCTGAAATTTGGTGGCACCCCTCATGCAGATCGGCCAGGGTCCAAAAACATTAAGGATTTGCGGCATTTCTAAAATTCGGTGCCCCCCCTCATGCAGATCGGCGGGGTCAGGGTCCAACAATATAAAATTTGACGCATGTTTCAAATTCGCTGGCACCCCTCACGCAGATCGGCGGGATCAGGGTCCAAAAACACAAGGGATTTGCCACATTTCTGAAATCCGGTGGCACCCCTCACGCAGATCGGCGGGGTCAGGGTCCAAAAACACAAAGGGATTTGCTACATTTCTGAAATTCGGTGGCGCCCCTCACGCAGATCGGCGGGGTCAGGGTCCAAAAACACACGGGATTCTCTGCATTTTTAAATTCGGTAGCACCCCTCACGCGGATCGGCGGGGTCAGGCTCCAAAAACACAAAGGATTTGCAAAATTTCTGAATTTCGGTGGCACCCCTCACGCAGATCGGCGGGTCAGGGTCCAAAAACACATGGGATTTTAAACATTTCTGAAATCCGGTGGCACCCCTCACGCAGATCCGCAGGGTCAGGGTCCAAAAACACATGGGATTTGACACATTTCTGAAATTCGGTGGCACCCCTCACGCAGATCGGCAGGGTCAGGGTCGAAAAACAAATAGGTCCCGACACTGCTTCACGGCAAAGCCAAAGCCTCATGACTTCGCTCTTCCATGGCCCATTCTCCGAGAGAGGGGGCCGGCGGCAGGGGGCGAAGCCCTTACGGATATCATGGCCCACGCCATGATATCCACCCCCCCTAGTCATTACCCCCCTCTTGACTGCCCCCGACTGGGCCGCCGGGCCACACGCAGCGACAGGTGCGCGGAGCTGAGGAAAGCAGGAGGTCGGGGGGGGAGGGTGGGGCTGAGAGGGGGGAACAGGAGAGATGGGAACGAGGAGAGGAGGGATGGATAGGAAGATGGAGGGAGGGAGGGAGGGAGGGAGGGAGGGGATGGGGGGAGGGAGGGGGGGAGGGGATGGAGGGATGGAGGGGTGGAGAGGACGAGGAGACAAGGGAGGGGGAGCGGAAAAGGGGCGAGAGGAGGAGGAGGAGGAGGAGGAGGAGGAGGAGGAGGAGGAGGAGGAGGACCAGGAGCATCGACGCGGCGGCTGATCAGCCAGAGCCTGTGCAGCGAAAGAGGAGGGGGAGAAAGGGGAGCCCCAAAGGCTCCTCCCCGCCCATGCACCGCCCCGGTCAGTCGTCCGAGCCGCGCCCGACAAACGGCGACGCGACGGGCCGCCCGGGGGCAAGACTCTCTGCACGGAGAGCGGCAGGGGAGGGGGAGGGGCTCGTTTGAGCACGACCGCTGGCGACGACGACGACGACGACGACGATGACGAGGATGACGACGACGACGACGACGACGACGACGACGACGACCCACCAGTAGACACATGAAGTAGGAAGGTGCCGGCAGTAGGTGGGGTACCCGCCCGCCCCCCCGAAGAGGAGGGAAGAGGGAAAGCCGCTCGACCCTCGAGGTGGGACGGCGGCTCTGGAGCAGACTGGCGCCTGGGAGTCCAAACATGCCCACTGTACTTCCAACGACCGACGGGTCCAGGGGAGAGGGAGGGAGAGGGAAGAAGGACTGGGACGCCGACGTCAGGCGTGCAGCTGAGTTGCCCCGATACGCAGCACGCAACACGCAGCGTATCGATGCGGAGCTCAACACGCAGGCTGAAAACGCAGGTCCGACGCGATGCGTTCGCCAACACGTGGCCCAATACGTGGAGCCAACACGCAACGTATTGACACGGACGTCTTGAACACGGGGCGTGTTGCGTTTCAACACGGGCGTATCGAGGCAACTCGGGCGTGCAGAAGTACGGGGGGAGAGGGAGGAGGGCCGCAGGGCCGCGGGGCCGCCGGGGCCGCGGACCAGAGACAGCTCAGATCGGCCCCCTGGGACCCCACGACGTGAAACAGGGAGGATGGACGGCCTTAATGGAAGGCCTTACGGCGGTACTTCTCCTTCCTTCGTCGCCGTCGTCGTCTTCGTCGTCTTCGTCTTCGTCGTCCTCGTCGTCGTCCTCGTCCTCGTCGTCGTCGTCGAGAAGGAGGAGGAGGAGGACGGAAAGAGGAGCAAGCATCTGCGGGCGCCAGCCTCGAAGAAGAGGCGGTTCAGCGCCGCGACCGCGTGCGCCCTGGCCTGCTGCCTGGCCGCGTCGTCGGCCCCAGCAGTGCCTCCGCGGGGCAGGCGGCAGGCGGGACGGCTGGGAGGCCGCGAGGCCGGGTCGCCGTGAAGGAAGGGAAGATCAGCCTCAGCCTTGGCCCGCGGCATGGGCCCCCCCGCCTCAGCCTCAGCCTCGGATTCAGCCTCAGCGTCAGCCTCAGCATCAGCCTCAGCCTCAGCCTCAGCCCCCGCCCCAGCCTCAGCCGCAACGGCAAGTCTCGAAGGAAGCGGCCCTGCGCTGCTTCACCCGTTTCGGGCTCCCGGGACTGTCGGGAAACGGTGCTGGACGAAAAAACTGGGGGAGGCGAGTCCCCAGAGGTCCAGGAGACCCGCTTCCCTCTGAAGGACACGTCTCCTTCATGCCAAGCCGGAAGACTGGACAAGGGGGCTGGGAGGCCAGGTTGGGGCGGGGGTAGCAAGCTGCCAGGCTGGGGCTGCACTGGGACACTGGGGCGGGACAGGGAGAGAGGTTGGGAGGGAGGGGGAGGAGGGAACTGAAGCCAAAGAGGGAATGGGAAGGCAAGGGAGGGGGGGTGCGGAGCCGGAGGATGGGAGCTCGGGGAGGGGACGGGAGGGTGGCTTTGCCGAGGCCGCGTTCCAGAAAGCCTGGCTCCGCTGCCTTCCGGGCGGCGGCGGTCCTGCGTGTCTTCGGCCCAATCGACCCCCCGCTAGCAAAAGAAGAGCCGGGCCATCCGCAAAGGAGCAGGAGGAGGAGGAGGAGGAGGAGGAGGAGGAATAGGAGGAGCAGGAGGAGCAGGAGGAGCAGGAGGAGGAGGAGGAGGAGGAGTCCCCAGCGCCAGGAAGGGATGAGGCGGCACCGAACGCTTCGCTCCGTCTTGTCCGAGCGCGCCCGCCCGCTCTGCGAGTGCTGTAGCCGCAGGCGCGCGGCGCAACGTGCTCCACGGTTTCGGGTCGGTGCTGGTGGCTGCGCGGTTTCCTGCCTCATCCTCTGTCGCCTTCATCTTCTCTCACCCCTTCCTCCTCGTTCACCTACTCCTGCTCCTCCTCCTCCTCCTCCTCATCATCATCATCATCATCATCACCATCATCAACACCATCACCATCCTCACCATCATTATCACCATCGCCATCCTCACCATCACCCTCACCAGCAACATCACCAGCATCATGACCACCACCACCACCATCATCCTCATCGTCACCAGCAGCATCATCACCATCATTTTCACTACTATGATAATTATCAGCCTCTTCGTCGACACCCTCACCATTATCATACTCGCCATCGCCATCGCCATCATCATCATCATCATCATCCTCATCATCATCACGAGCATCATCTACATAATCATCAGCATAATCATCGCCATTAACATCAGCATTACCATCATCATCACAATCACCGCATCATCATACGCAGCATCACCACCATCAGCATCGTCGTCGTCACCATCTTCATACTAATCATAAACAACAACATCAACAACACCATCCTCGTCAGCGGCATATTTATCATCGCCATCACCACCATCGACATGCCCATTAACATCACCAGCATCATCATCACCATCATCATCATTGAATTCGTCCGCATCATCGTCATCCGCAACAACATCACAAGTATCATCGTCATACGCATGTCCATCAGCATCGTCTCATCACCAGTAGCATCGCCATCGTCATGATCAACAGCAGCATTCTCATCGTCATCAGCATCATCATCATCACCAGCGGCATCATCATAATCGTCACCCTGGAGGTTTGGATCAAGCGCTGCCTGTGATGGCCGAGGAACCGCCCTCTCTGCCTTCAGCGCGGTTCCTGATCCCAAAGGAGTCCGCATGGCAGGCTTGGCCATGCCATGCCCAGAGCAGCCGCCCAACGTCAGACCGAAAGCTGCCCTGGGGGAAGGCTGAAGCGAGGATTTGAGCCCTCTGGGCCGGCAGCAATGGTGAGTTGTGCCTGCTGCCAGCCAGGCGAGCCCGCCCGCGCTTTCGCGTGAGCACTGCGCACCTGCTGTGCAACGGTCTGCTGCTGGTTTGCCGCCCGTGTTCTCGGCTCAGTGCTGCTGGAGAGCCCGCCGCTTCATGCGGCGAGCTGTCCTCGGACTGTGCGCGAAGGCGTCGAACTCGCCAGGGCTCCCTCGTCCTGCGGGCACCCCAGGTCCTCCGCGGCGACCTCACGCTGGAAACGGGAAATTCGCACCATTAGTTTGAAGTGGCTCATTACAGGAAACAAGCCTTTCAGTAAAGTGCGGTTGCTCTGCCGCGCGACAGCCGCGGCGGCGCGTCCGAATTGCCGAGCCACGTCCTGCGCTCGCGCCCTGAATCTCCTGTCAAGGAGCGTCTGCACCTCGCTGAGAGCGTGCTCAACGATCGCCCCCGAAGCTTGAGTGTGACACTGAAGCTTCTGGTGCTCGGCGGGCCTTCGGTCGCTTGGCCCGCGAGCGGCCACGAAGGAGGAGCCGGGGCGCTCCTGGTGCTCCTCCACGGGCCTGCTGCCCTTCGGGTTGCGCGGCCACGCGTGCTAAGCGCTGGGGCCCTCCAGAGCTCGAGCTAGACAGTAGTCTTCGCTCTCGTGCCATCTTCGCCCTCGCTCGCTCCGTCCTCGTCCTGCCTCCGGTCTGCGACACGGCAGCGGAGCGAAGACGGCCCACGAGGTCGCCACAAGGCCGCCTGCCTTGAGCTCTGGGAGCCCCCCTCTCGCGCTCGGCGGGCATGCGGCCGCAGGGTCGCGCGGTCACAGCTGCCGAGCGGGTCCGGTGCCGGGCGGGCCTGCCGCGGTCACGAAGGTCGAGCCCGGAGCCGTGCGGCCCGCTCGGAGGGCCTGCTCGGTGACGAGCGTCGAGCAGGTGCCCTGTGCTTGGCGGGCCTGCGGGCTGGGTGAGCGCTCAACGTGTAGCACACAGTCGGACCTGGGCCACTGGCCATCGCTCGGACGTCCATTTCCTGTTTTTTTGGGGGGTTTCGTGCGTGTTTTTTTCGCCAAGTGGTCGAGGATGCTCCTCGAAGGTCCTCGCCGAGAAAAAAATGCACACGTCCGAGCGATGCCAGGGCCAGAAGAACATCCTTCAAGAACACGAGACCCTCCGTCGGCCAGAACACACGGAGCATCCAAGGGTACCCCCCCAGGATGCACTAGAGCATCCAACAAGCACGAGGAGCAGGGTACCCTCCCCGAACCGACCTCGAGCTTATACCTCGGTCCGACTGCATTCACGGGCAATAAAACGATCGAAGGTGGAGGTGAGGTGGTGGTGGGTGTCGCCAGCGCACACAAGAACGGCTGGATGGATGCTCTACCAGCCAGCCGCCTTCGTCCACAAGTGCATGTCCGCTGGGCACCCTCTGCACTTCTGAAGCCAGGCAGCTGCCTCGGGATGGGCACGCCGCGGGTCCTGGACGGAACTGCCTGGACGGGCTCCCTAACAGTTGAACCTTCCCCCTGCATCACCAGACAGTTCGCCGCTTGGCCCTCGATCAGCCGCACGCCCAGGGGCGAGCAAAACAAGTCAGGAACGTTTGCATGGCGTGTCGCGGCGGCGGCCCCAGCGACACGTCATTCCCCAGCGACGCGCTATTCCTTGCAAGCGAATGGCGCGGGACGGGAGGCTGGGAAAGGCTCGGGACGTTGACGCTTGAGAATGGGGGATTTGAATAGCATGCCGCGCCGAAGCGTGGTGGGCCTGAACCGGCCGAGCGACACGCTAAGCCGAGCCTCCCGACCGCACACAGGCGCAACACCGCTCCGGATGCGCAGCTAGCCCTCGGTCGAGCCGCATCCGCGAGGACCCCAACTCTGCAAACCTGCGGCGTCTGGGTGTCTGACCGAACTCGGTGTGTGGTTGAGGCCTCTGGACTCAAGCGGTCGTTGCCCGTCGCCCCACGATTCCAGCACACCAGACAACTGTGCACTGTGTCATGGGGCCAAAAGCTTTCAACCAGTACTGATAGCCTGGGCGTGAAATGACCAACAACATGTCATAACCCCACTGGGCTAGAACTACTCGCAAACTCCGCACCAGGTTGTGAAGGCCCAACACTGCCAAAAACAGAGTGTCCCCAAGGCGCCTCGAACTGCAAACATAATATCCTCGCCCTCCTGGTTTAAGGCTGCAAGCAACATATCCTCACCCCCTGACCTACGTGAACCTACCAGCAATATACCCTCACCCTCGTGGGCGAAAACTGCAAGCATCATATCCTCAGATCCTGTCATCCAGCTGCCAACAAACTGTCACCCTCCTTTCCTACACGCGGCAGAAGCGCATCCTCTCTCCCCACCTCCTCCTCACCCTCCCCCCTTCCCTCCCCCATGCCCCCTCTCCTTCTCCTACTCCTCCACACCCTCGAGGAGCAAGAGAAGGAGGGGTCGCCTTGAGCTGACGCGCAGCCGCCGCACGCCAGAAGGGACGCGGCGGCAGATGCGCCAGCCTCAGCAGGCGGATCGCCGCAAACCTTGGTCTGTGCTGCTGCGGCAGCACTGGCAGCGGCGGCGGAGGCAGCGAAGGCTTCGGCGGCGGCAGCGGCTGCAGCGGTGGCCGTCGCGGCGGCGGCGGCGGCAGCAGCGGCAGCAGCGGCGGCGGCGGCGGCGAGGAGGCGAAGGCGAAGGAAGAGGCGACGCTCTCATTACCAGTTCGGAGCACGCTGGCCCCTGGAGCCAGGCTTGGTGAATTTGGGTCCCGCCACGCGCCGTCGCACACGTGCACGGGCCGCGCGGGCGCGGGCAGGAGGGAGAAGGGCGCCGCAAGCAAGAAAAGGTGGCGCGAGTCAGCGGTGCCGCAAAGGGTGAGCCCACAGACGGACGAGCCGACGCGTCGCCAGCGCAACTCACCCGCTGAGGCGGCTCATGCGGCTGGCGGCGAAGCGGCTGTGGCGGGCTTGGGACCCGCTCCTAGCTGGTGAGACTGTGGCGGCGGGCGTGCGTCGCCAGCGAACATGGTGAGAGGAGCGCGCCGCTGGCCAGCGGGCAGAGCGCCACGCCCTCGTCTCAGACGGCCAAAGCTCGTACGCCGCGCCTGGGGCGCCTGGGGCGCCTGGGGCGCCCGCGCACCCGCCAGCGGGCAGGGCGCCACGCCCTCGTCCAGGGCGGCCAGAGCCTCGTGCGCCCGCGCCAGGAGGGCGTCCTAGAGCGCCCTGCCGCCCGCCCTCTGGCCGCGCGCGGGGCCTGCGCGCTTGACGAGGTCGCCGTACCCGTACTGCAGCTCGTGGCTGCTCACGTCCACCGCCTCGGCCGCGCGGAAGGCCCTGGTCGCGGCCTCCTTGGCGGCGGCGAGTTCGGCGAGCTCCTCCTCGGCGGTCAGGGGCTCGGCATCGCCGACCTCCTCGGCGACCTCCTCCGCGACCCCCTGGGCGTCGCCGCCCGCCGGCCCCGCGCCGCCGGCGTGCTCCTCGCCCGGGGGCGCGGCCTGCCGCAGCAGCTCCGCGCAGAGCGCCCGGGAGGCGGCGGGGATCCTGTGGCGGACGAGGTTAAGATGCCAAGATGCCCCATCTTTTCCTTTGTGTTCAATGTGTTCTACTTCCCCCCCCCGCCACTTCACACAGTTTCCCATATTATCCAACTGTTCCTTGGGGGGTCGGCGATCAATTGTATGTGTGTGGTTTGTGTTGTGTGCGGGTTGTGTGTTGTGTGTTGTTTGCTATGTTTGTATGTATGTAAGCATGCATGCATGCATGCATGCGTACACATATGCATGTATGTATACATGTATGTATGTATGTATGTATGTTTTTAGGTAGGTATGTAGGTATATATGCATGTGTGTATATGTTTGTGTGTGTGTATGTGTATATATGCTTGGTTGTGTGTATGTGTATGTGTATGTGTATGTGCATGTGCATGTGTATGTGCATGTGTATGTATATGTATGTGCATATGTATGTATATATATGCATGTGTATATGTATTTGTACATGTAGCGATGCCCTTCCTCTGCTGATAGAACTCCTCTTAAAACCCAAGGCCGCTACACTTTTCCGGGCTCACCACTGCCTCTGCAAACATTCTGAAAGCACGAGGACGGCCACAGTTGGGGCAGGCCTCGACTAGCCAAGGGTGGGTGGGCACGGGAGAGCTTGAAGCCAGAGCCCCCGCGCGTCGAGGAATCGCTGCAATCAGCGATGCCCTTCCTCTGCTGCCGCTACACTTTTCCGGGGTCACCACTGCCTCTGCGAACATTCTGAAAGCACGAGGACGGCCACAGTTGGGGCCGGCCTCGACTAGCCACAACCGCCCTTGGTGGTAGAAGGGGCGGGGGAGGGAGGAGCGAAGCGGGCGCCGAAGAGCTCTGTTGGCAGCGGCGGCGGCACACGAGGACGGCGACCGGAAGGGCGGGGGTCGACGTCGCTCGGCCTCGGCAAACGACTCGAAGACAGAAGCTGCCAGGTGGCCTCGCAAAGGGCGGCAGCCTCGGCGAAAAGCCGGACTTTACTACGGAGGGGACTCGGGAGGTCCGCGAGGAGCGTGCTAGCCCCGATCTCCTGGATAAAAATCTCTAGCAACCTACTGGAGAGCCACCAGCCCCTGTAGCGAACCCAGTCTGGCGAATCTGTGAGCCTATACCAACACGTGGCCCCTCCCGAGCGGAGGGGCGCAGGGGTGATGCCGCCTTTGTCTGAACGTTGAATTCCGAAGAAAACCTTGAGGGAATCCAGACAACAACTGAGAACACGGGCATCATCATGCAAGAGAGGGGAGCGAGGGGAGGGCAGAAGTGAGAGGGCCACGAAGAAATGCACAGCTGTGGGACATCAATCCTGATACGCACGTAGCGCGCTCATAGGCGTCACATTTTGGGCGCGCCCACGTGCACATACCTTGAATGCAGACGATCCAACGTCCGCAAGGGGAGCGCCAGGTCCCCGAACTTCAGCCTCAGGAACTCGAAGGGCCTCATCATCCCGAGGAAGCCGAGGATCGGGCCGCCGGAGACGTCGCACCAGCCCCACGCCAGTGCAAGGCTCGCCGAAGCGAGCAGCAGCGCCTCCGGCATCGCCTGGTGGTTCGAGCCAGGCGTCAGGTGCTCCCGCGCGAAGGAGATGTCCCACGACGCGTCGAGTCGGTGTCGGAGGGCACGATTTGCGTCCGCCATCCAGTGCTGGAGCTGCGAGACGAGGGCAGCACGGCGCGTCTGGACCACTGGCGTCAGGCCGCGCGCGGCCGCCAGGTCCGCCCCCGCGGGGCGGGAGGTCGGCGGGCGCGGCGCGGCCGCAGGGCCCCACAGCAGCAGCGGCAGCAAGAGCCCGACCAGGCGGGCCCGCGGCTGCGCCGGCCCGGCTGCAGCGGCGCGGGAGGCCAGCGCCGGGGCTCCACGAGCCTGGTCCCAATGAAGGCTGGCCGTGCCCGGGAGGAGCCGGGCCGTCACCTGACCAGGGGGTGAAACCCTGCTCACCTCCATGGGGGGGCCTCCTCGGCAAGCCGCCTCCGCCGCGCGGGCCCTCGCCCGGGAAGCCCAGCGCGGGGTCGCGCACCCGCGGTCGAGGGGCGAGCCGCAGGAGCCCGCGCCACCAGAGGCACGCCACCAGCCAAGCCCACCGAGACTGCTGCCGGCGCTGCAGCGGGAGCGCAGCCCAAGCGCGGAAGGCTGAGGCGTCCCCAGCCTCGAGTCTGGCCAGCCAGCTCGGAGCGGGAGGCGGAGCCTCGGCCCCGCGGGCCAGAGCGCGCGCCAGGTCGCGGAGCGTGCGCGACGGGACGTCGGCTGGCTGCAGTCGCGTCGGCGCGAAGTGGCATCCGATGTACGAGCCCGTGGCCAGCTGCAACGGGGCCCTCCTTCTCAAGAGCTTGTTGATCGCAGTCGATGAGGAGCGGCCCTTGCTGATGGCCCCGATCGAGACGCGGGGGTCCAGGAGGAGGTTGTGCTTGCAATCGGGGAACCGTAGGCCCTGCTCGTCCACCGCGTCGCAGGCCGCGTCGATCTCCAGCAAGTTGATGTGGGGGGGCTTGCGGAAAAGGCGATGGCAATGCAGCTGCCAGGGAGCGAAGCCAACGTAGTCGTTCAGCCAGAGGGCCTCGAACGCTCCAGCGGGCGCCGAGCTCTCCGCCGGTGGCGGCGGAGCCGGCCCGTCCAGGTTGTCGGCGATCAGCTTAGACAGCTCGTCGCAGAAACCGTGCGGGTAGAGCGCGGCTTTGAAAGTCAGGCCGCCCTCTAAGACCGCGTGCGCGTGCCCTCCGCGACAGCGCCTCGCCAGCCAGGAGCCCCGCACGACCAGGAGGCTCGTGTCCTTCTTCCAGGGCGCACCGAACTGGCACATCGAGAGGTCGAAGCGCTCTACGGCCTCGTGCGTCAGCAAGAACTCGACGATGCGCGTGTGCCAGGAGTGGGCCGTCAGGGGGTGCTCGTGCAAGCCGGTACCGTGGCCAGAGAGAAGGTGGGCGAACAGCGCCAGCATGCCCACCCTGAAGAGGACGTTCCCCAGACGCGTCGGAGTCGAAGATGGGTCGAACCCCCAGGGCCGCGCCCTGGACCTGAGCCTCGGGTGCCTCGCGATGGAGAAGCTGGTGCATGGAACCTGTGATATAGTCATCTTGACGCGCCTCTGCCAGATCAGCCATACTACCCACTCCGCCAAGCGTGAGTCGACCAGGTCCCAGTATTTGCGGCACTTGATGTCTATCCTCGGGCCCGTGCGCAGGCCCCGGTCCGCGAGGTAGCCCATGAGACGGGCCTCCTCCCCGCAGCAGAGCTCCAGCACGTCGAAGTACTCGATCAGCGAGGCCGTCGGGTCGACGGCGCCAGGGGGAGGGACGGCATCCTCCTCCAGGTCCTGCAGGACGGCGCCGTCCTCGGGGTTGGCAAGGGCAGCCCAGCCTGAAGGGTAGAGCCACGTACGGGCGCCTCGCTGCTCGCGCTGACGCCAAAAAGCTCTGGCGGTGGGCGCTGAGGCAGGCGTCTTGACGGACGCTCCGGCCAGGTGCGAGGCGTCCGAAGCCAGAACGTGCGGCCCCCAGCCTGCGGAGAGGTCGGTGGCCATCAGCGGGAGGAGAACCGCGAACAGGGCGCACTCGTTGCAGGTCGCGCTGCTCAGGTCGAACACCTCGTGCGGCTCACGGCCGACGTCGACCTCCTTGTAGCAGTAGTGGAGGAGCGACAGGGTCGGCCGCCAGAACAGCGCGGCAAAAAGCCCCATGCCAAGGAACCTCTGCAGCCCGAGCGTAGTGGAGCGTCGGCCTCGGGCCATGGACAGGCCCATCCAGGCCAACGCCAGCCTGCGGGTGCGTGAGGCGCCGACGAGCCGGTCGTGGCCCAGGAGCTCTGCCCCGATGACCGTCGCCTCCGCCGCGTCCTTCACCTCCTTGCCCGCGCTGACCCTGAGGCCAGCCTTGGCATAGCCCTCGCGCGCACGGGCGAGAGACTCCTCGATAGCTCGCCGAGCTTCCCGCGAGCCTGGAGCGTCGACCGCCAGGCCGAAGTGGTCGTCCAGCACGACGCCCTCCCAGGCCGACCCCTCGGGGGCGAGGTGGCGGTTCAGCACCCGCCGTTCTGGAGGGAAGCTGCCAGCGTGGGCGAGCAGCCGCATGTGGGACTCGCACGCCCAGTCGGGAGCGCTCAGTCCTCCCATGATCAGGCCGCCATGGCAGGGAACCACTTTCTCGGGGAGCTCGCGACCCTCACGACGGCAGCGCCTCCGAAGCCGGCCCAGCGCTGCGAAGCCCTCGTAGAGCCTCGTCGGGAGGGGGAGCGCCACGTCGCGTTGGTGCGGGCCATGTCGCAAGCGCAGTCAAAGGCGGGACAGAAGTCCTGTAGGTCGTCCGCCCAGACGCGCAAGACAGAGCCAGCCGGCACCTCCAGGTCCACCAGCGCAGCGGCGCTCGGGGTCAGTCTGGAGAAGCCGCCCAGCGGCAACTCCGCCGAGTTGCGAGCGATGCGATTTAAGACGACCCTCTGCGTGTGGGCGTCCTTGAACACGGGGAACAGGGCACCTCGCAGGGCCTGCGGGGAGTCGGCCGCGTCGACCAGCTCCAGTCGCCACACGTGATCCCACTGCTTCAGGTACTGGAGGAGGTCGCCAGGCTTGCCCGCCTGGCGGGCCGGCCTCGCCGGAGGGGGTCGGGTCGGGGGCCCGACCGCGCGCGCCCGAGGGCCGGCACCCGGCCCATCCCGCGCCAGCAGCCGAGGCTCTAAGAACGTGGCGGCGGAAAACGGGGCCACGAACGCCAGGGGGTCGAAGTGGCACTCGGCCTTGGCGAAGGGAGCCTTGCTCGGGTCGATGGTCATCACATCGGAGTCAGGAGAGGGCGCCACGGCGCCCAGGGGGAGATGCATCGCATTCAGGAGATAGTCGAGCAGAGCGTCGGCCTTCTCCACGCGGCCACCTTGCCATTGCAGGGGCCGGCACATCGGTCGCACAAGCCTCCTCAGCCTGGACACCATCTCGGACTGAGACGAACTGAGAGGCCTCCCCGCGCGGGCGCGCGGCGGGCAGCTCCGCGACTCGCCCAGGTGCAGGTGGGAGAGAGCGAGGACGACGGCGTTGACCCACATGTGCTCGACGTGAGTGCGAAGCCATCGCCTGCGAGCGCGCACGCCCCGCGGGGGGGCACCAGCAGCCCACCCGAAGGGCGGGGGGCAGGGCAGCAGACCGGCAGCAGGATTCGCAACCTCCTGGAACCCAGCGGCGTGCTTGGAGGAGCGGACGAAGGCGCCGAAGGCTGTGCGAAGCCCGCGCAGGCGGCGGATCAGGCCAAAACCCCAGCGGATGCCCACGTCCAGCGAATTGCTGCCGCCCACCAGCCTCCTGCGGTCCCCCGCGCGTCCACGCGGCCACGAGGCTGGGGCAGCGTCGCGCAGAGCTCCCGGGCCAGCCAGCCCAGGGAGCCCCGCTCTCACTCGTGGGTGGGCGCGCCAGAGGCCTTGCCTTGGCGCTTTGGGCCCCCCCCCTTACTCCGTCCTCCTCGGCCCTCGGGGCGGCAGCCGGCACCAGCATCCGCTCCGCGTCCTCGAGGGCCAGCGTGTCCTTGGCGTAGCCGATCATGGAGTCGCTCATGCCCTCCTCGCTCGCGGCACCCGTCATGTTGAGCTGGCGGTTCCTCCTGGCCATGGCGGAGAAGGCCTGGGGGCTGCTCTGGACCTGACATCGGCAACGCCTCAGGGCGGCAGCGCCGCGCGCGCCGCCAAGTTGCACGCCAGTGCTCTCGCCAAGCCCGTCGTCGCGCCCGCCGTCCGCCAGGAGCGACAGTGCGTCTGGTAGGCGACCACCGCTCTGAGCCAGGTCCCCCATCGATGACGCCTGCTGGACCAGCCGGGTCGTCAGCTGCTCCACGCGGCCGCTGGCCCCTGCGGGAGCCACCGGGGGCTGGGGTTCCGCGGTCTGGCCCGCTAGCGGAGGGGCAGAGCTGCGTGGGGGTGGGGGCGGAGGGCCCAGCGACAGAGCAGGGCCTTGGGAGCCCGAGGTCGCTTGGCCGGCGGGGGGCCGCTGCGGGAACGGGTCCGCCGCGCCTCCCCAGCGGGGCGGAGGTGGCCCGACGGCGGCCGCAGCGGCGCGCGCGGCGGGCAAGCCCTCCAAAGCTGCGATCCTCTCCCAGAGCGCGTTCTGCCCGACCAGGATCTGCTCCAGGACCCGCCGCTGCTGCTGCGGCGCCTGCCTGGTGAGGGCCTTCCTGGTCGGCGCCTTCGGGGGGGCGGGCAGAGCAGCCGGCTGCGCGTGAGGGGCTGCCCGCTGCCGCTTCAGCTCCGCCACCTCCACGGCCAGGCTCCTCAACTCCTCGACCGCGCACGCCCGCTGCTGCTCCAGCAGCTCGCTCGGCGGCGTCGTGGCGGCTGGAGGGAGCAGAGAAGCCTCCCCTGCGAACCGCGCGCCGAACCCAGCCTCGGCGACCGCTGGCTGGAGCCCGGGCACCGGAGGGGGGCGGAGCGGCGGTCCGGAGGCGGGCGGCGCCAGCCTCATCTCCTGCGGTACGCCTGTCGTCACGAGCGCGGGCTCGCCAGCGCCCGGCAGAGAGTCCAGAGCGGCCAACATCATGGCGGGGACCGCCTTCGCAGCAGCCACTGGGTCGGACCCCCGGCCATCGTCGTGGAAGGCGTAGACCTCGCCCTCGCCAGCCTTCAGCGTGAGGAACCCGAACTCTCCAGCGACCTCTCCCGCAGCAGGGGCGGGCAGCCGCGCCGCGGCTGGCACGTTCTGGGGCGTGGCGCACAAAAACCAAGCGCTGAGGTCCTCGTCCCCCTCCTCGCCCGTGTCGACCGCGTTCTCCTCCTGAGCCATCATCACATGCGGTGGAGAGGAGGCGGCACAGGGGCGCCGTGGCGGGCGGCCTCGGCGAGGTGGCCAGCAATCGCCTCGTCCTCCGAGGCGAAGCGGCGCAGGCGGTCGCCGCGGAAAGAGCGGTACCCGCCGATCCGCCCGGCGATGGCCTCCCAAGCCCGCCGCGCGCCGCAGTGGACCCCCACGAGGTCCGGGGCAGCTGGGCTCGCCCAGACCGCGTAGGCCCAGGTCTCGGCGCGCGCCGCTCGGGGCGCGCGGGGCGGGGCGGCCAGAATTGGGCGGGGCGCCGGCTCCTCGGGATCCGTCTGCGTACCCACGTCTCGTGTCGCAGGGCCCGCGCAGGGGGCCGCGCCCGCTGGCGAGCCGCCGGCCCCGCAAGGGGTCAGGTGCACGTTGACGGTCTGCACAGCGGACCCAGGCGCCGCGCTGCCCAGCGAGGCGCCGGCCCCAGCCAGGGAGGCAGCAGGCGCCCGCCGGCTGCAAGAGGACGCCGCCGCCGCCAGGAGCGAGGCCAGCATCCACTGGATGGTGCGCGGAGAAACGGGGCGCGCGGGCGCCCGCCGAATGAGAGCTTGAAGCCAGAGCCCCCGCGCGTCGAGGAATCGCTGCAATCATATGTATATGTATACGTATATGTGTATGTCTGTCTGTCTGTATGTATTTAAGTATGTATGCATGTGCGTATGTATGCATGCATGCATGTATGTATGCATGTATGTATGTATGTACGCATTTTTGTATGTATGTATGTATGTATGTATGTATGTATGTCTGCATGCATGTATGTATGTATGTTTGTATGTGTATATGAATGTATAAATGTATGGATGCCTGTCTGCCTGCCTGTCTGTCTGGCTGTATGTATATGTGTATGCATGTATGTATTGATATGTGTATGTATGGATGCATGCATGTATGTATGCATGTATGTATGCTTGTATGTATGTATGTATGCATGCATGTATGGGTGTATGTATGTATTTATGTATGTATATATGTCTGTCTGTCTGTCTGTCTGTCTGTCTGTCGGTCGGTCGGTCGGTCTGTCTGTCTGTCTGTCTGTCTGTCTGTCTGTCTGTGTGTCTGTCTGTGTGTCTGTCTGTGTGTCTGTCTGTGTGTCTGTCTGTTTGTCTGTAAAGGCTACGGAACAAAGGCCGTTTGGGGCGCCTGTCTCAGGGCGCCCGCGATGGCGGAACACCGCAGTGTACCGCTCTTCGTCCGCCGAGTCCTTCCGCCGAGCGGGGTCTTCTCCCTCCGCGGGGGGGGCCCCTGCGCCTCGGCGGCGTCGCCGTCCACGGCGTCGCCGTCCGCGGCCTCCTCGCCCGCGGGCTCGCCTGCGGCGTCGCCGCCGGGGCCCAGCGCAGCTGCGCGGCGGCCTGCGATGCTGCCGCCGCCCGCTGGCCTGCCGGCGCACCCGCGGCTGCCGGGCCTGCTGTCGCCGCCGCCGCCCTCCGGCACGGGGGCCAGCGGCACCAGCCTGCCCTCAGAGGCGCACCTTCGGGTGCTGCCAGAAGGTGCCCCTGGCCCAAACGTGCCCCCAGGATGGCCAGAGAGGCCCCCACGGCCCCCTTGTGAGGCTGGGGAGGGCTCACTTGGGCTCTAAGGTGGCGCGAGAGGCCCGGGAGCACCTTTAGGGCGGCAGGGGCGCTTCTGGCAGCCCCGGACACCTGGTGATGAAGTGGTCGGCCTTCCAGCCGGCCTGCTGATGCTCGCACCGCAGCCGCATCAGCTTCTCCTTCTCCTGCGCCTCTTGGGCGGGTGGTCACGGAGTGTGGCCCAAGTTGGTGGCGAAGGAAAGGGCCCGAAATGGGGCCCTTGCTGGGCCCTTTTTGGAGCCAGCTGGTGCCCAAGAGGGGCCACGAAGGGCCCCTTGAGGGGCTTTTTCTTCACCCCCCCCAGTTGGGCCACCCCCCCATGACCACCGCCCGAGCCTCGCGCTTCAGCTGGCCCACGTTCACCGTCGACTTGGCGCCGCGGAGCCGGCGGAGGATGTGCTGGTTCTCTTGGTCGATGCGGCGCATCTCCTTCGGCTACACGCAGGAGTGGCCCTGGGCAAGAGTGACCCTTGATGCGCGGGCCAAGGCGGCGAAAGGTGGCCAAATCTCAGCGCGCAAGCAGCCGCTATCGCATCCCGCTCCGCGATCGGGGGGACCCCGATGAGCCCGCAACGCAAGTCACTCTGGCGAACGGTCACTCAACTACGTGTAGTCGAGATGTGCTGGTTCTCTTGGCCGATGCGGCGCATCTCCTGCACCATCGACCCGGCCCGCGAGCCCGCGCCGCGCAGGGCCGCCGCGCTGCCCGCGGGCTGGCTGCTGCAGCGGCTGCGGCTGGTCGGGGGGCCAGCGGCGCTCGGCGTGGCCTGCCCGGCTGCAGCGGGCCCGTATCATAAGGATGCGCGGTAGGGATGCCAGGGCCTTGGAGGGCCATGCTGGCGATTTTGCCGAACGAGGTTGGCCAGCGAAAGTCGCTAAGGATGGGCCGAGGGGGCAAGGATGCAAGGGTACACGTCGTTCATTTCTAATCGTGCTCATTTCTAAGTGTGCTCGTTTCCAATTGCTCCTGGCCCCCTAGTGGCCAGGAAGAGGCCCAGGATAGAACAATTAGAAATGAAAGAAGCGTGGCCCCCCCCAAAATCAAAGAATCTTCGAAGAATTCGAAACGAACAGTGGGGAGCCCTTGGGAAGCTTGCCCAGCCTTGCTGCGCGGGTGGACGGCACGCGCGGGCGCGGCCCCGGGCAAGCGGGGCCCCTGGTGCGCGGCGCTGGGGGGCCGCACGGGGGGCCAAACCCGGGCGCGCACGCCGGTGGTGGGGCAGGAGAGCCGGTGGGTCGAATCGGTACGGTGAGGGCATTTCTTGTTGCTTCCCCCTCTTCGCAGGCGCACGAGGGCCCCTGTCAAACTCGAGCGTGCATGGCGCGGGTGGGGCACCCAGGAGCGAGCCGATCAAAGCCCTGGCTCGCCCTCCTGGGGCCGGCCGTCCCCGCGCCCTGCTGCCGCGCGCACGCCGCGGGCCTCGCGGCCACGGTCCCGCGCCCCCCCCAGGCGGTGAGGGCATTGGACCCCCCAGGGTCTGAAGCCCCATGGGCGCATGCCTTCACGAACGCCGCCACCGTACATCGGATCGGCGGTCGGAGTGAGTCGGATCGGCGGACATCGGCAGCCAGGTCGGGACAAGTGGAAACGGCGGACATCGGCGGGCTAGTGAGGCCCGCGTTGAGAAGCCGAAGCCCGAATCGGAATCCAAAGTCGAATCGAATCGGAATCGGAATCGACATCGGCATCGAATCGAATCAAGTCGAGCGAATCGAAATGTGCCCTGCAGGGGCCCCCCCGTGAGCCAGAATCACAGGCCACCCTGCGAAGGGTCCCTCTAACGCGTGGCCGGCCTGCGGCGTCGGCCTCGCCCTGGCCTTGCCGGCGGCGTCGATCTCGTGCAGGCGCACGAGCAGGCGCACGTTCTCGCGCTCTATCTCGGTCTGCCGGTCCTCGTTCTGCTGGTGCCGCTTCTTGACCCGCGCCCGGACGGCCTGCATGACGATCTCGTCCCGGCTGTTCCACGCATTGTTGACGGCCGACTTGTGACGCGTGACCTTCTTCAGGTGGCTCTGGTGGTGCCTCTGGTGGACGAAATTCTCTACTGCCGCGCTGCACACCTTGGGGAGCAAAAGCAACATCAATGCCGCGACTTGAGCAGGGGCCGACCGTCACGGCATTCCTATAGTCCTACCACAAAGTGTTCTTAGAATCTCAAACTGTTCTAAGAACGAAGAGACAATGTTCTTAGAACATAAACCCGATGTGGTAAAACAAGGCAGTCCCAGCCAGAAATGTTCTAAGAACATGTCGTGCAGACCACAAAAGGTTCTTAGAACATTGCTTGGTAGGCCTGTAGGCACGCCAGGACGCTTCGCCACTGCTTGAGCGACGCCCACCCTGGGGAGCAAAAGCAGCATCAGTGCCGCGACGCCGGGGGGAACCCGTCAGCGTGCTCCTGCTGAAGGAAGCACCAGGTCTCCGGACAAGTGCGAAGAAGCAGCACGCTGACGGACTTCCAACGGCGGCGTGCCACAGGCGTGGGGGGTGGCCCGCGCGGGGGAGCACACTGGGCCTGTCCGACGCTGGGCGTGGGAGGGGGTCGGCAGCGTCAGGGGATGGGTTCGGTGCGCATGCGGGGGCTAGAACGGACCGTCGGGCGCATTGGCATGGGGAGGGTGCTGATCGATCAATCTTGCGTCTGGCTTTGCGGCGGGCGGAGTGGCATGAGCAAGGCGCTCATCATCGGTCCATATGAGGGAGCAGACAAACCTACCTCGCTTTTGACCACCCTCGCTTCCGAGAGATACCAACCGATGCAAAACTACGGCCTGCACTGGTCAGGCCGCTTGACGAGGAGGCGCGTGGTATGACTTGCTTTGGCCTGGAAGCGAAAGCGGGGTAGGTAATTCGCGCTCTGGCACATGGCGTATTGCCCTTCCCTCCCGAGCACCGGGTTCGCCCGCTCGAGGGCCACCCCGGGAGTCATGAGGCAGCCGGGTCCTCCGCCCCCTGGCCTAAGCCGGCGCGGGGCCGCGCCCGCCCCCTCGGCGGGGCCTCTGGCCGCGCCGCGGGAGGACGGGGGGCGCGGGAGCCGGCGGAGCCGGAGCGGCTGCGGCGAAAGAGGGGGCGAGGGCGAGCGAGAGCTTGGGGAACGAGCAATGACGCAAACATAACAACTCGGAGGTCCGCGCGGATTTCTCGGATCGGCGCTGGGGCCCCCTGGCGGTGCCTCCGGCGCCGCCGCTGGCGCGTTCCGCGCGCCAGGGAAATGGTCCAGCACCGATCCGAGGAATCCGCGCGGACCTCCGAGATGTTATGCTTATGTCATTGCTCGTTCTCCTAATATTAAGCCGGGCCTGTCCCCCATGCAGGGGGACCTTCGACGGAAAAAAAAAGATACTCACAAGTATTCCAAAATGGCGAAATTATCCCAGTGCGACCCTACCTAGGAGTTGGAGCCCCTAGGAAAGCAGCATTAGTAGTAACAGTAAAGCTAAGCTGCAGCTAAGTTAAAGCTAAGCTGCAGCTAAGCTGCAGCTAAGCTGCAGCTAAGCTACAGCTAAGCTAAAGCTGAGCTAAAGCTAAGCTAAAGCTAAGCTAAAGCTAAGCTAAAGCTAAGCTAAAGCTAAGCTAAAGCTAAGCTAAAGCTAAGCTGAAACTAAACTAAATCACAGCTAAATCAAAGCTAAAGCTAAGCTAACGCTAAGCAAACGCTGAGCTAAAGCTAAAGTAAAACGAAGCTAAAGCTAAGCTAAATCTGAGTTACATACAGCTAAGCTAAATCTAAACTACATCTAAGCTAAAGTTAAGCTAACGCTAAGCTACATCTAAGCTAACGCTGAGCTAAAGCTAAGATAATTATAAGCTAAAGCTAAGCTAAAGCTAAGCTAACACTAAACTAACACTAAACTAAAGCTAAGCTAACGCTAAGCTGGAGTAAGCTAAATCAAAGCTAAAGCTAAGCTGAAGCTAAGCTGAAGCTAAGCTGAAGCTAAGCTAAAGCAAAGCTAAAGCTAAGCTAAAGTTAAGCTAAATCTAAGCTAAATCTAAGCTAAATCTTAACTAAAGCTAAGCTAACGCTAAGCTAAAGCTAAACTAAATCTAAGCCAAAGCTAAAGCTAAAGCTAAGCTGCAGGTAAGCTAAAGCTAAGCTGCAGCTAAGCTAAAGCTAAGCTAACACTAAGCTAATGGTAAGCTAAAGCTAAGCTAAAGCTAAGCTAAAGCTAAGCTAAAGCTAAAGTTAAAGCTACAGCTAAAGCTCCCAGGGGACTGGGGGAACCGCGGGGCGAGGACCGGGGGAACCGCCCGGGGCGCTTTCCATTGCCCGGCCCCTTTAAGCTAACAGAGTAAGAACCCTTCTAGGCAGAGCCTAGGTAGGGAAAAATGCTAAAAAAATCGCCCGCCAGACTATTTTTGGACTATTTTGGAATATTCCCCCTGTAGAGGGACAGGCCCGACTTAATCCTGATACTGAGGGACCAGCTCAAGGCGGGAAAATTTATCGAGGTCGCATCGGGGACGCATCGCCGACGGATCGGCGAGAGGCACCAGGAAACGAGACCGCACGGGGATGGGCGGGAGGTGTTATCGAGGTCGCATCGGGGACGCATCGCCGACGGATCGGCGAGAGGCCCCACGGAACGAAAACGCACGGGGATGGGCGGGAGGTGGGGCCCAAATGGGCCAAGAATGGGCGATCGGGGGTCGATGCGTTAACCACTTAGCCGATCTCAAGGGGGGAAATACCGAGCTCGTCACTCTTTCCAATTGCGCGAAATGTGGCTATCACGCGCACGACCTACCCACTGCCGTTCGCGCCATGTAGATTACGAGCAGCGCGCGCATGCCAGGACATAGGACCAGAGAGGACAGATATTGTGATAGTGTCGATTGCGTGCTCGAGCGCAGAGATCGGCGATGCATCGCCGAGAGATCGGCGACAGGCCCCGAAGAGCACAACCGCACGGTGATGGGCGGGGGGCGGGCGCCCCCCCCCCCCAGCTTTCGCTGCCCCGAAGGCCGCTGGCGACGGAAGAGGACGAGGGGGAGGAGGGAAAGAGCAGAAGGAGGTGGCGGAACATTGTCTTTTTCTGTTTGTCTCTACTCCGACGGTAGGATCCCGCATGATAATCGATGTAGGTTGCCGTTCGCACTGTTCTTCTTCGGTTGGCGGAAGTTTCCTTCCGCCCTCTGCGTTCACCTCGTCCTCCTCCTCCTCCTCCTCCTCCTCGTCCCCCTCCTCCTCCTCCTCCTCCTCCTCCTCCTCCTCCTCCTCCTCCTCCTTTCCTCCTCCTCCTCCTCCTCCTCCTCCTCCTCCTCCTCCTCCTCCTCCTCCTCCTCTCTCCTCTTCTCGTCGTACTCGCTGCATTTCTCATCGTCTTCTCTTTTCGCCCCGCCTCCTCCACCTCCCCCTTCTCCTCCTCGTGTTCATCTCCTCCTCCTCGGCCTTTGCCTTCTCCCTCTTCCCCCCCCCCCCGCCGCCCCGCCCGTTCTCCATTTGCGCCCCTCCTTCCTCCTGGCCGGGGCGCGAGCGTAGATTTTCCTCGGCGCCCTCGCCGCCACACCTGGCAGGGGCGCGTTCTCCGACGGCGACGTCGAGCAGCCGTTGGGGACAGCCCCGCGGGCCTTGCCGCCGGGGCAACCCCGCGAGCCGCTGGCGCGCGAGACCATGCCGCCGGGACAACCCCGCGGATTCCGAGCGGGGAACCGCCGCGCTCAGGCGGGGCGCAGCACAAAGCCCAGCACTGCCGCGAGCTGCTCCGCCTCTGCCCTGGAGCTCGCCGCTCTGACGTCGAACTCCAGAAGCGCCTTCCGCGAGGATGCCGGCGGCCCTCGCTCCAGGAACTTCCACGGCGGCGGCCGCAGGATCAGCGTGTTACGCATGCGTGTGGCGCGGGAGGACATGGCGTAAAAGGTGCAGCCACCGCTGCCCGTCCGACGCGCCCGCGCGACCAGCGTCTTCACCCCTAGCGCAATCGATGGCGGCGCCCTTGCGCAGAGCCTGGTCCTGCGACAGCGCGGAGAGGCGCGGCCCGCGCGCCATGTTGAACCCCGAGCGGCGCGCGGCACGCGGCCCCGTGCTCTGCCACGCGAGCTCCTGCTCGCTGGGCCTGAACATGAGCAGGCCCCTCGCCCGCGCCTCGGCCCCGCCGTCGTCGTCGGCGACCCCCTGGTAGATCGGGGGCTCCATGAAGCCGCGCACCTGCAGCCAGATCCCCTGCGGTAGGTAGCGAGGGGCGGAAAAGCTGGGCCAGCGAACGCTCCTCGCACCGCTGCTCGCCCTCGAGTCGGGGTGAAACTCGAAGGATACGGTGGTGGTCCGATCCTCCTGCGCGAGCTCCAACTCCTTCTTCGGCTCTTCCTGCGCTGCCGTGAATCGCACCTTCATGCCGACGTGGGCCGGCAAGGCGCCGTGGATGTCCCCCGTCACGCGCACGTTCGGGGCGTTCAGGAGGCGCCGGCCGCGTCAGGATCGCCTTGACTCGCGTTGCACTCGTCCACGGCCAGCAAGAAAACGAGGGGCGCGCCCAGACGCCGCGCGTCGCGACGAGCGTGCGCGTTGATCCACCTGGCCAGCGTCTCCCAGTAGATGCCCATGCCGTAGCCGCGCCGAAAGTTCTCGCGCCGGTGCCAAGGGTCCAGGACGTCGCGGTTGTCCGAGGCCAGCGTCGATTCCCAGGCGGACCAGACTTCTGGCGGGAAGAGCTTGCCTCGCAGGAAGATAGTGGAGATGCCGAGGGTGCGCCGAGCCACGTGAAGGGCGCCCGCTGGCAGGATCTCTGCAGTTGCACGGGGCGCCCCGACGCCAGCAGGTCGGCGACGCGAAAGAGCGGCCCCAGGCCACGGTGACCTCTGGCGCGCAGGTTTGCGGGCGCCCGCGAGGGCCAGAGCAACAGCGAAAGGCGCTGCCCTCGCGCCGCATCCGAGATCGGCGGGACGCGCCCCGAAAGATTCTCAGAGCCAGCGGACAACTGCGGAACTCCGCCCGTTTGAATTCGGGCGCCCCGAATGACCCATTGGCACCCCGAAGGCGCCGCGAAAGCAGACGCTGCCAGGCCTTACCGGGAGGGGGTCTTGCGTTGCCGGGCCGCGTCGCGATGACGTCTGACCAGGTCCGGCGTCGCGGTCGACTCGGGGCCCTCCGCGGGCCCCCACCCCACGGGGGCGAAGAACTGTCAGCGATGCAATGAAAAGCTCAACTGATTAGGGACACTTAGGGATTCGACCTCTTATTACGGAGCTGGGCGTGTCTGCCGCTCTGGCGGCTATGCGGCCGCCGTCGTCGCCCTGTCGCCATTTCGTCGCCGCCCGTCGTCTGGGCCTGATTGCCGGTCTGGCGGCTCTGTCACCGCCCTCGCCGCCCCGTCGCCGCCTCGTCGCCGCCCGTCGCGCGGGCCTCTCTGCCGCTCCGGAGGCCATGCGGCCGCCGTCGCCGCCCTGTCGCCACTTCGTCGCTGCCCGTCGTCTGGGCCTATCTGCCGGTCTGGCGGCTGCGTAGCCGCCGTCGCCGCCCTGTCGCCACCTCGTCGCCGCCCGTCGTCTGGGCCTCTCTGCCGGCCTGGCGGCTGCGTGGCCGCCGTCGCCGCCCCGTCGCCGCCCCAGATCATCCTTTCTACAAAATATTAGGATCGCCCCCCCTCCCCACCCGGACTAAAATGGCAACCTTTTCGTATTGCTTGTCGCTGATTATTACGCACGCTCGTCCATCCTCAACATAAAATCATACCATCCCACGCAATCCGGTCATCGACCCCCCTCCTCCTGTGCACAGAGAATGGCGCGCGCGCATTCGTTCATCGCAAGTCACCCGACGTTCGGTAAACCATTGGAAGAACATAAAACAAAACAGCAACAACAAAAAGACGGGACGAATGACGCGCGCGCGTCGTCGCGCGCGCGTGCCCGAATCCTTCGGGAGCCACAGGTTTCGCTTGAAATTCACAATCGAATGCCCCGAAAACAAATAGGATTGTTTAAAACAAGTGGTATGGGCACCGCGCTTGCGCACGCGTTGCGCGCGCGCTCGCTGAGCGAAATTCAGCCATGTCGTTGAAAAACCTATTGCAACAAAGAGGAGGAACAACAACCAACATGACGAATTGCACGCGC